TTATATTATTTCACGCAAGGCCTTTCGAATGTTTCTTTTTCAAGCGATATTCAATAAGAAATATTTGATAAGAAATAATTGGGAATCAACGACAAGTTCAACTGTATTGTATTGTATTGTAGTGGTTTGTTGTTGTGTATTTGATGGATGTATTTTAATGTATTTCTATGTATTTGATGGATACTTGCTCAATAATGCATTTTAATGCACTTTTCATGGATTTTTTATGTTTTTTTATATATATATATTATCGTTGTTTTTATAATTGTTTATATTTTTGGGCATCGTTAATCATACTTCTTGATGTTGTTAATCATAATTCTTGATGCATCCTCATGAATTTTTAACAATAGCTAATAATGCATTTTAATACATTAAAGATTTCTTAACGATGGCCGATAATGCATTTTAATGCATTCAAAATTTTTCCCATAATGTCTTTTGATAAGTTTTTTTAGTAATGCATTATATTGCATTTTCCAATTATAAAAGATTCTTTTGATAATTTTTAATGATTCATAATAATTCATTTTTTTGTTTGTAACCATCATAGATTTTTGGTCATTTTTAATAATGTATTTTTTAAGTTGAGTATGGTGAGACTGGATTCCATGAATTGGTGTTTTTAATAAAGGAAGAGGTATTTTTATAGTAAATATGGATATGGATAAGGGAGAGATATCTTTACAATAAATAAGGATATGGATAAGGGAGAGATATTTTTACAAAATTAGGATGAATATAAAGAGAGATATTTTTACAAAATAGGATGAATATGGGGAGAGATATTGTTTACAATCAGTAGTATGAGAATGAGGGTAAAGTAAGGTATATTTTTACAATAAATAAGACGGATAGAGTAAGGCTGAATATACGGAGGGGACATTTTTATAAAAAATGTTATGAAAAAGAGATTGAAGAATGTTTTGAAAAAGATTGAAGAGTGTTTTTTCTGTACACATTATTTTTTGGAAATGGTACATACATAGATTGAAATAGATTAAAGAATGATTTTTTCTTAAATACAATAATACATAAGAGAACATTCATAGATAGATAGATTTCGACACAGGTAGATTTCGAAAGATATTGAAGGATGATTTTTAAGGATACAAATTCAATACGGGGAAAAAAAAAAAGGAATATATATTCGATAGACTGACAGATAGATGAATTATATTTCAATGTTACAATAATTAAAGAAAGAGAGTTTTATATAGAGATAGATTTTCGACATATACATACATACATATTAGAGAATGTTTTTCATTTATACAATATCAATCAGAAAAGATTCATACATAGATATGTTTCGAAACAACTTCAAGTATGTTTTTTAAAAGATAACAAAATATTTTTTCATAGATAGATTTCGAAAAATCTTGAAGAATCTTGAAGGATGTTTTTCAAGGATAACAAAAAATTTTTTTATTCGAGAGAGATTCATATTGAGACCGATTGAAGATTAATATTTCAATATTTCATAAATGAATGGGAGAAGATTCCTTTTTTTTAAAGAATGCAGATTTAGGGAGAGATTGAAGGAGGTTTTTTAATAATATATTAAGTAACAGATTTCAATACAGGTTGAGAATGAGTTTTTGATTTTTCATTAATCGGTTTTTGATTTTTCACTAATCGGTAGAAGAGAAAATTCGTGAAAAGATAGTTTTTTAATATTTTATTAGGGAGAATTCATTTCTTAACATTGTAAGCTTCTTAACATTGCAAGCTCTTTCGCCTTTGGTGGGTTCTCGTTATTGTTTCTTTCTTTAGCGTTCTTATTTCCTTCTTATGTTGTCAATCTTATACTATTTCAAGAAGACATTATTCTTCTTTCCATCCACATATATTAATCTATTTTTATTTTCTTTTTTCGATTTCTATATGAGAAGTTTTATTGCTTCCTTGTCTGGTCTTTTCTTTACTAATAGCTGCTTTAGATTGTCGGCAAGTCTATTTGCATACATTATAGGTATATCGTCGAGCGGTGTCCCTTCGAATATCTCTTGCCATAACTGATGAAACCGTGATCCAAAGTTTGCTAGAGATGGAGCATATGTAAAGTGGACTAGAATGTCTCTTCCAAACTCTATTCTTCTTTTTTCTTTTTTATTCCAATCATTCTCTAATATTTTTGCTCGATATTTTTGGTGGTCATTTCCTAGTAGTAAATCTGGTGTTTCTTTTCCGGTTACATCTCTAAAGAAACGTTCCATTTGTTTATCGATAAATTTCGGAGGGTATTTGTTTAGAAGGAGCATAATTCTAATTTTATCAGTTTCATCTCGTAAGTCATTCGGATGTGAGCATATACGAGTAGCGCGATGAATTGCCGAGTAGGGTATGTTTCTGGTTATATGCCGTGGGTGTGCCGAGTGGAAAGGTAGAACGTACGGTTGCGCTGCGAGCTTTCGAAATACTTTAGTTCGGAAATTTGGTATATCTATTGTTGTTGTTACATCTAAATAGTCTATAGTCTTTCCTCCTTCCCATGTGATATTAATGTTGGAATCTTTTTCATTCATTTTTGATAGAATTTTTTCCATCTGTGTTGGCTCCAAGTTCGTAGTTAGAAATACATCGTCTCTGAAGCGAAAATATAGCTCCCCTTGTTGCTGTTGTTCTTCTACTAAATTAGCCTCCCATTTTCTTACATAAATGTCAGCCAGCACCTGTGTACAGGCTGATCCCATTGCTCCTCCCTTGATTTGCTGATAGAATCTTGGCTGTTGTCCTGGTAGTTGGAGAACAAAATATGAATTGGTCAGTACGTGTAAAAACATGGCCTTTATTGTGTTTATGGATAGACCTTGGACTTTTCTATATCCTTGTCGACCAAGAAATTCGCACACAGCTAGCACTGATTCTTTTTGTGGGATCATCGTATATAAGTCTGCTATGTCAAAGGTATATATATTTGTTGTAGTTGTTGTTTTATATTCTTTCAGTTGCTTTAGAAAGCCGATTGAGTTAGTCAATGTATAAGGGGTATGTCTATCGAATAGAGGTCGAATAATTTTGTCCAAAAAACTAGATATTTTTGATAATGGGGATTTCATACCACTTACTATCGGTCTTAGAGGTTCACCTATTTTATGGTCTTTAGGATTGTAGTACAAGTGAGGCAATTCTGATTCGGTAAGAGATGGTCGTAATCTATCAAGCATATATTGTGGTATTTTTTTCTTTGAAACCAGATCACGTAAGAATTTATCCGTTTTTTCTATCATTTCTTTAAGGGGTGATGTAGTTATCTCAACGTATGCATTTGTCTTAGCCATATATATATCCGATTTCTTTATGTGGTTCTCTGATGTCTCTATATGAAACATTTTTGACTTGTCTGTTTGCCTAAATATTATCTTTTTTTGTTTTTGTATTTTTTGGAAGAAACTAATAGCTTGTTTCATGTTTGGGTTTATGGGTGCTTCTCTTTCTATTGTTTTCTTTATCTCTTCTTCGATTCTTGCACAGAATTTTTTTACTATTGGTGGATCTCTGTTTATCGTTTTAGTCATATTCCTCCATGCTATCGACACCTTTTCTTTCATGTTTTCTATTTCTTTTGGAAGACGTTCCAAAACTTTTTCAGGTGCTGGTGGTATAAATTTCGGTCCTAAATTTAATATTGTGGCTTCTACACCTTCAAAGATGGCTGCCTTATTGTTCGCCTGTGGTGGGAAGCTTATTCGAGTGTAGTGTGGGTGAAGTTTTGCTGTTGGGTATCCTGGGTGATGACGAGATAGGGCATGCGCTAGTTTTCGTTGGTTGCGCACGCCCTTTTTGCTAAAAAATTCAGTTTTCTTTTCGCATATTGATTATGTCTCGTATGCGATACATGACATATGGTGCCGTATGGCTCATGAAGATGTTGTGATAACCCTTTCATTAATTCTTGATATTCTCTATTTGCATGTTCTATTTCACCTATCTTAGCTTGCCGCATTAATGCTGTTAAGTCCAATTTTGCTTTCCGAAGTACATTTTTCCATTGTTCTCGTAGAGAATTTAATTGATTATCATTTGGTTCTAACTCTTTTGCATATAGCTGTAATTTATCAATTATGTTTAAAGATGGTGGTGGCATGTTTTCTATAAATCTCATTTCTAATTTGTCTAATTGCAATTTTAGTTCTAGTGTTCTCATGTATTTTTTATGTAAACATTGTATGAGTTGTTGTTCTGATTGTGTTGCTGTATTCTTTATTATTTGTGTTGCTTTTTCTCGTTTGTGATCTAATAAAAGATTGTCTAATCTTTTTTGATCATTTTTCTTTTTATTTTCAAGTACTTTTTCGATGGTATTTTTCACGAATGATATTACCTGACTCTTTTCTTTTTCAGAGAAGAACGAATGCAATTTATTTTCTCTTTCATGTTCTAACTCTTCATATTTGTTTTCAAGAAAATTTTGATGCTCTTTGATAGTTTCAATTGTACATCTTTGCTTTGTTCGTTTAAAATAATATCGACATTCAATAGGCATAATTATAAACTCAAATTTTTTCGGCATTCTTGCTATACTATCTTTTGGTATGACTGATGGTGATGAACGTATTCTTGGTTCTGGTGTCGAACTTTTTATAGGACTTATGATCATTGAAGAATCTTTATCTATATTAATGATCGTTGTTTGTCTTATTTCATTTCTATTTTCATTGTTGTTTTCAATCTGTTTTTCTAATGGTAGTAATACATTGTAGGATTGTTGATGTTGTTCTTCGTTTTTATTTTTTTCTCGTTTGTCATTATCGTAAAATGGTGAAGATTGAACAGATCCTCCCTGGAGTGGTGCATCTTTATTTCTCGGTGGTAGTGTTTTTCTTAGGATAATCGGTGGTGGTGGTTGTCTTGGTGATGGTGGAGTTGGCGGATTGTCTTGGCGTTGTCCCAATTTTCGCTTTTTTCCCGGTACTGGCTCTGGCAGCCATTCATCGAATAGTTCTGATAAGTCACTAAAATCTAATGGTGCAGGTGGATTTGCAAAACCATTAGGCGATGGTCTAGCTATTGGTATACTATTATCATCTATTACTATGGTTTCTATTTGTTTTCTCTCTTGTGTTATTTGTTTCTTATCATTTGCCGATTCAATATAAATTCTCCATTTATCTGCTTCTAATTTCAAAAATTCCGTCTGAAAATGTAGATTACTTAATATGAAAATCTTTTCTTTTTCTTTTTCGAACTCTACTGGTATTGCTATCTTTCGAAAGAATTCTTCTTTATGTCGTAGAAAATGAGGATAATTAGGTATTAATTTCTTAATTGGCAAATGCTGTGTTTCATATTTTTGATTTACTGACCATCGATATTGATTGTTGTTATCGACGGTTACATTGTTGCGTTGATATTCTTGATATTGTTTTGTTTCATATTGTTTGTGATGATATTTAATTTGCATTTTTTGTTTTTGTCGCTGTTTTTGTTGTTGACAATGTTGTTGATTATTATCTTCATAAATTTGTAATTGTTGTTTCTGTTGTTCTTGATATTTTGTTCGTTGCTGTTGATAATCTAATTGATGATGATGTTGCGTTTTTTGTTTTTGTTCTTTGTATCTTATTTGTTATTGTTGTTGTTGTTGTTGTCGTTGATTTTGTTGGGTTATCTTGTGTTGATTGTTGTTATTATTTAAAGATGAACTTTGTGTATGCATAGTGAATCAATTTTTTAATGCTTTTTCAATTAATATACGACCTGATTTAATTGATGGGTGAAGACCATCAGTATGCATATGGTGATGTTGAAGATTTGTATGAATGACTTCGAAATTCAGTTGTTTTGATAATATTTTCAATAATTGATTAAATTTTTCATTATTTTCGTTCATTTGTGAAGAATCGAAGAGTTTTGATGGTTTCCATCGGGGTGAAAGGGCTAGCCAACCGATGCTTTTTAATTTTGGAAATAATCGTCGCACATATTGAATTAAATCATGACATTTTTGAATAGCTAATTCTGGTCCTAGATTTGCTACATCATTTGTACAAAGAGAAAAAACAAGAAAGTCCATTTCAAATATTTTTTTATTTTTTTCAGTTTGCATTTGTTCTAAAAAATTAAACATCCGGTTGCAATCGCATCCGGATTCAAAAGATACAGTTACCTTGATGTTGTTCGTACTTACTTGTTCTGAACGAACATACTTACACATAGAATCAGATAGGATAATACCTTGCAGTTCGTTCGATGTTGGTGTAAAATTATCATTCTTATTTGCATAATTTGGCTGAATTAATGGTGCTCGATCTTTGTATTGTTCGGCATGTTGAATACTTCGACGATTTTTGCGCGGTGGTTGTTGGAAGCAATAAATAGACATGAGAGAGGGTATAGGATTATTCTCAGTAGTATTTTTATTAAATTTAGAATTAGAATGAATATAATTATTTTGTATGTTTTGTTTCAAACGACTATTTCTATTCTCATTAGATATATTAGTGTAACCAGAAAATGTAGTTGTTGAGCCAGTTTGAAATTTTCGATAATATGGTGCATGTTTGCGTTGTGTAGCATTACATAGATTGAATTTTGCATTAACATGAGGACGTAAATGAATAAAAGATGTTGTCGTTGATGATGAAGGTTTACGAGATACAGGTATATGATTAGGATAATTGTTAATATTTCTAGTATTAGATTTTATATTCATGTTGATTCTTTGAGCGAACAGAAATATTGGTTATGGTTCGACAATAATATAATATCAATTCATTCAATAAAGCAAATCAACATGTAAATTTGGAGTAATTTTTATTTTTTTTATTATTTTTTTAAAATTATTTTTAGTGTTTTTGTTTTTTTTTCTTTTTCTTTTTGAATTTTTCAAAGAGATATGTAGAATAACAAGAGAAAAAAGAAAAGAAAAAAAAAGAGAAAAATAACGAACAATAAGAGGGAACAAATAAATAGATATGATAAATAAATAAATAAATAAACAAAAAACAAAAATAGAAAAGTAATATTTTTGTATTATTCACGCAAGGCCTTTCGAATGTTTCTTTTTCAAGCGAGTGAGAAGGAATAATCTAAATGTAAGAGAGAGAGACATTTATATATTCGATCAAAATTATCTGACAATTAATCATCTAAAATTCTTTCAATAAGAAATAAAATGGAACTAATTGATAAGTGATTCATTAGAAGAAATTAATGTATATTGCTTTTCTTTTCTGTCGGATTTATTTCTCATTTAAGATCATTTATTCATTTTGATGCCATTTTTACTGTTGTTTCTTTTATTTACATGGAACGAAAAATTGAAATAATCTAACTTTTGTTAATAATTATTGGTCCTCACTGGTGTTTCTTATCTCAATCTATATTTTTCACTACTTCTAATTTCAATACACTATTGTTAATTTGTCTTGGTTTATATTAATCATTTAATATATTTAACGCATTAAAATGCATTATTTTAGAGAGATACTCTAAGGCTTCTGTAAGCCTATATAGTATATCTCTTTTTCACTTTAGAAAAGTTTTATTTTCAACATCCTTATCACTCTCTCTTTCAATATCTTTTCGCGCAGTTGAATACTCTAAAAGTCGCTGATTTTCGATTAGAATCCATTAGTATTTATAATAGTCATGTGCTCATTATCACATTTTAAGAACTTATAATGCAATAGAATTATATTAGAGTCTCATATTATTTGATCAATTTTCCTCACTGATTACAATACAGTATTTTGCACATCTTTTTTATATATTCATTGTCCATGAATTCGAACACTATGATACAAGAAAATAATCTAATACAGATTATCGAATAGTTTTAATGCACTGTATTTCATTAATTTGTTCATGTGGTACTATTCTTCATCGTTATTTTTACTGCATAATATTACAAAACTTTGTTTAACAGGATTTCATTGTCAGCATTTCAGTTTTAATGCCTGATATCACGCCATTTATTTGGTTATAATATTATTTTTCGTACTTCAATTTTAATGCATGATAAGGCATTACTTCTTAGTTATTATATTCCTCGTGGTAGTTTAGTTTTAATTAATGATACTATGTTATTTACTTTTGCGACATGATATTATTGTTGATAATTTAGTTTTAATGCATTATATTGCATTATTTTCTTTTTATAACATGATACTCTAATGATAGCCTAATTTGATTGTATGATAATGTATTAGTTTAACTTACATGATGCTATACCTGATATTTATTTTAAATCAAAGATATTCTTATTGTTTCTTT